CATAAAGTAATGATGTCTTCTGTCAATAATCAAACACCTGTTAGAGATTACTCACATCATAAACCAGCCAACTATGACATGATGTAGTAAGTAGGTTTACAAAAATAAACCATGTATCACAGCAGCAGACATTCAACAGCAATAAAACCTTCACCTTATTACTGAACCTTGGACCATAATAATTCATGGCTCCATATTACTTTATAGTTATAGTGTTATGTGTAGTTTAAAAATAATTGACTCATGAAAGAGAAGATCTAAACTCCTGACTGAAGCTTTTTTAAGAATGAGTGCATTTTTTTTAGTTATAGTGTGTTTAGCATGAGCAGGAAGGATGGAAATACACTTCCCTAGAATGTATTTTCACTTCCAAGTGAAGCTTTGATAGGTACTGGAAAAAAACGTCCTTGTTGATTATCAACTGTGTTTGTTGAATGTGTGCTCAGCGCTTTGACATATATAACCTCTTTTAATCCTCATAATGCTCAGGTCTCCTGACTCCAGGTTCTATGCTTATATCCTCAAATCATTTGGTAAATCAAACTTAAGTTATTACAATTACACAGGACTACCAGTAAAAGAAATGTCTTTTTAATTATAATATTTCATTATTTATAAATAAAAGAAAGCAAATGAATAGCACATTTGAAGGATTTAGCTCTCCTGAAGGAAAATAAAAGTGCAGTTCCTGTCTTTCATACATTTAGTTTTAACAGTTCTGGGATCATCATGCAATGATATAAATGAAATGTCGCTAAACTCTGAGATTCTACTACTCCCTGAGGAATGAAGATCACTTGAAGCTGATCAGTTTTTCATTTTTACCAACCCATTTTAGTGAATTGTGCAGTGAATCAATTATATTATTTCACATTGTTTTTTATTCAGAGGATTAAGGTATGCAATATTCCCCTCTAGGTATTGATATTCTAGAACACTTGCCTTGAATCCAGTCACATGGCCCCAAACCTCAAACCTCCTGACTCCTGGTTAAGACTTATTCATATTGGGTATTTCTTCCTGGACTGAGGTTGGTAAATTGATGAAAATGTAAGTGTAATTTAATAGAGAAAACAATTCAATCATACCTAGTCAGCATGTATTACTATAAAGCCAGTGTATCAAATAGTGAGACATGAATCTCTTGATGACACGAATCTCTTCAAACTTGAGAGAGAAAACATACTTTAGAGTGAGGGAGCTGCTATGATGAAAGCAGATCTGGAGTGCCGGGACTGTTGGAAGCACAGAGGATGCTGGAATTTAATGGATCCAGGGGAATCATGACCCTAAAGAAGCAGACTTTAAAGAATTAGAAACTCCAACAGACAGATAAGGAAGAAGGGCAATAACACAAATGGAAGGAAACGATTTGCTTTTAGGAAACTAGGGTATGAGAGAGGAAGAGAAAATAAAGGCCAGGAAAGGAAATTGGCACTTGGTTTTGGAGACCATTTTTTATGTGAAAAAAATGGGTAGTCCTTAACTAGACTCTGGAAACATTATTCTTTGAGGATTGAATTTGGAGAAACGAATTCATCACTTGTTAGTCTCAATGGAGTTTATTGCCACTTACTATGTACCAGGTACTTTTCCAGGCTTACATGTATTTATCCATTTAATCCTCATGACAATTCTACAAGGAAATTTCTATCAGTCTCTCCATTCCACAGGTGAGAAAACTGAGACACATAATGTTTAGTAACTTGCCCCAGCTCAGTGAGCTGAAGAGTGGAAGATCAAGGATTCAACCTAGTTCAAAGCTGTTTTGTAAGATAGGCCACTCAACTTTCGCTGCATGTCTCTACTGAAGATCAGAGGTGAGACAAGAGAGTGGGCTACTAGGAATGGACTGGATTGTTGTTTGAATATAAAGAGAGGGTGCTAGATCCAAATTACAATCCTGTTAGTGAAATCAGAAAAAAATAGATGTTTGGATAAAATGATAAGATTTTTGAATATGCTGAACTTGACCTGAGCAGGACCAGTCAGGTAGCTATACCTAGGAGAGAGCTGGAAGTTTAGATATGGAGCTCACTTAGCCAGGAGAGGACTAGGGTCAGCGGAGTGAGGCCCTTGCCACATGCACAAAATTAAAACGATGACAAAAAAGAAAAAAAGGAAGCCAGTATTTCAGCATATAAAATAGTATTCCAATGCAACATTTTTTAAATATCAAAATTAATGCCAAAACTATTAACTATCAAAGTTTTAAGTAATGGCAGGATCAGTACTTTTCCTTTGTCTCAGCCTATACAGCACTATTAACAATCCTGTCTCTATTTGAAATGTTATCTTTGAATCATAATATTTTGCATTAATTTTGAGCTTTAAAATATCACCTTAAAATAGAACTTATCTTGATTGATGCTTTGTTGTTGTTTGTGCCTCCCTAACTTTTGCCACCTAGGCAAGTGTCTTACTTGCCTCACCCTAGCTCTGGCCTAAGCTAGAAGGAATTTCACTTTCATCTATACCAAAGCTTCTTTTATCTCTCCAAGAAAGGAATGATCACTGAAATTGAAACCGAACTTGAGACATGTCTAGTTTTTAAATTATCTTAAGTCTAGAGCACTAGTTCTTATATTTTTTTTCCCCAGGAGGAAGAGAACACATGATTTCACTCTACAGATAAGGAAACTGAGACATAACGGCTCCAAGTTAAAACTAAGTTTTTAGTGCTGCATGGGACACACTGGATCAGAAGCTTCTTTAGGTACAAAGTAAAGAAAATAGAACTATAAGGTATACTAAAGTGAACAATACCTGGCCAAATAATTTAAACTGAAAGAATAAGTTTTTGGAATGAGCAAGTGCTTTTTAATGCGATAGAGCTTGAATTCCCATTCATCAGCTGGGTGACTGACCTGTGGCAAGCTCCAAAGCTTCAGTTTCCTCAGTAAAATGAGGCTATCATATCCATCTCTCACTGTTTTGGTCAGGAGAAAAAAAAAAAAAAAAGAATGTAGTCAATAAAATTTATCCATCAGGATCTCAACTTATAACAGACCATGCATGCAAAATAGGGAAATTCCAGGAGATTTTTTTAGGGAGCTATATACAAAAGTACAGAGGCAGAGAAAATTAAAGAAACATGCCAGGGGAGAGTTGCTATAACCCATCAGGAGAGAAAAGCCAAACACAGTAATTTTCTCTTTAAAAGAACAGTGACTTTTTGCAGAAGGAGACAAGGAAATAAATACTCTGACCTTACTCTCCTTTCTCCCTCTGGTCTCCAACCAAGCCTCAAGCTAGAGGACATCAGAGCCCACTTAACTTGGCTTTTGCAGATCAGCCTCAACGGAAGATGGAAGGATGCTGGATAGAGTAGTTATCTAAAGGAGCAAAAGGATACTCACCACCACATAATAGTGTTTCCTAATTATTGAGTGTTTTCTATGTAACAGACACAAATGCCTTATTTGTGTCAACTCATTTAATCCAAATAACCATCTTACAAGGCAAATACTATTATTTTCCCATCTTATAGATGAGGAACATGAGGCTGGCTGTATGTAATTAAGTAACTTGCTGAAAGTCTCAGAACCAAGGATAGAAGCAAGAATTGAATCAAGGTACTCTGTACCATAGCCTAGTGTCAAAGATCACTAACTGGGGGTAATTGGTTTCACAATTATCATCACTATCATAAAAGCTATTTTTTCAGGGGGTTATTTCAATTATAATACTGCACATGCATAATAAAGTATGTTCAATATGCTATTTGTAATATTGTATTGGCAAAACATACACAAAATTTAAATGCCTAATATTGGGGCTCAGAAACCATTGCCACAAAATGTGACATTTCGACATGCTGAGAGGAAGAAGCCTCAAGTTCCCTTTGACCTTTCTTCATCAGTCCTCTCTTTCCCAAAGCACAGGATGAAGCTGTTCTCTGAAGTTCCCTTATCTGCCTGAAGTCTGGACCCACCAAAGAAGAAAACAGTTACCTCTAGTTCCTTCCCTGACTTTCCACAAACTGAACTGGTATTGCAGAAAGACTGAAGTCTGTCAACACACATGGACAGACTTTTGTCACAAACCATTGTCTGCTCTGCAGACTTAACAGACTTTGTCTCAGGCCATTGTATGTTCTTCAAGTCCATTGAATTTCCCTAAAAATCATTTACTAACCCCCAAATCACCCATACATCCCCCATCTGCCTTTCCTCTAATAAGGATATATAACCATCTCTACCTCATTGGAAAGTTGGGCAATCACTCTGTGATTCTCCCCCATGTATGCTGATAAATTTGTATGCCATTTCTCCTGTCAATCTGCCTTTTGTGAATTGGTTTTTCGGTGAAACTTCAGAAAGTAGAGGGGAACTTTTCCCTTGGCCCATACACTATGAACTGAGATAGACAAAAAAAATTAGTATGTTTATAAGGTGGAATACCATGTCGTCAGTAAAAACTGACAGCTCTATGAGTACTGTGTGTTGATACACACACACACACACACACACACACACACACACACTGGGGGGGGGATTCAGAAAGGTTATATGTTACAATTTCTGTTAAAAATTTAAAATACATTACCGATATTCTTGTTGGCAATAGAGTGTCTCTGGAAAAATACATAAGAAACTGGTAATGTAATTGCCTTTGGGGAAAGCAACTGGATGGCAGGGTGAAGTGAAGATAAATTTTTATTGCACACATTTTGTACTTTAAAAATTTTTTCCATGGTCATGTAATAACCTACTTAAAAATATATTTTACTTAAGGAAAAAATATAATTTTGCATTATTATTGACCTTCCAGGGACTCTTGTAATTTGAGAATTGAATGAAAAAAAAATTTGCATGCATGAAATTCAGCTTTCTTATTCCATGCTTCCTGAGTGATTTGCTTTTTCAGTAACAGAATCTTTTGCCATACCAACTTGTTAAATGAATGCCAAATCAAGAGCAAATCTTCCACTTGTGTTCTATAGTGCTTTACCCATGCTGCAAAAGCAAAACCTGTAGGTAAAACAATGAGAAAATTATCACCTTGAAACTAGGTAACAGGTAACCCAGAAGGCAAGCCAAGCATAAAATTACAGCCACAAACAGCCCCGCAGAGAGCATCTCAGGAGCAGGGCTACTGGAATTTTGTTGTTGTTCTTTTCATCTTTCTTTGTCAAAGGAAGCAGGTGGTAATAGAGCTCAACCACAGCTCCTGAACTCTGAGATTTACAGAGCTGTGTCCTCTGGGGTAAGACTAACATTCTTCCAGGTTTTCTTCCTTTCCAAGAAAACTGACATGCTGTTTTTCATAATATTTTCAAACTGGAAAATCAACACAGAGAAACTTTGGTCATCAGGAATAGAGAGATTGCCCAATGAAATTAGAGAATTGATCATTAGGATGCTTATTACTAAAAAAGCAATTTTTAAAAGAAGGATGCATTAAAATTTTTCCAATATGCTAATGTGGCACACTCCTCTGCTGCCTAACGGTAGGTGCTGCTATCAGCACAGGAAGCCTTGTTCTGAGAAAGAATTATTCTAGAGGGCCAGAAAGAACAGGTATTGCTCCACCCGGGTAAACGCTGACTCAACTCCGTATGGCTGGCGCGCTCTTTCCTTACCTCACCCCTCTTGCCAGGCACAACTGAGAACCAGAAATAACAGGATTAGCGAGAGCCGGGGAAATATGCAGGACGGTGGTGATGGGTGTGCACGGGGAGTGCCAACTGGTTTTAATCGTTAATGTTCTTCCTCTATTGCTAGAGAAAACGTCTTTCCTTAGAGGATGCATTTGCGCGAGTCACTATAAATTCCCTCTGAAACTTGCGGGACGCCGATTCCGCTCCTGGCCTGGGGCAGGGCGTGGGAGTTTGGAAGCCAGCGCTACGTTCCCTGTGGGAAGAGATCGCCTCCTCCTCAACTCGCGCCTGGGCACTGAGCTCCTCCCGTTTCGTGGCGCCTCCTCCCCGGATGGCAAACCCTATAAAGTGACAGAGAATGAGGTTCCTCCTGCGGCTCTCCGTTTAGTCCAACTCCGAGGTCAGCGATATCCCACGTCCCCCGGAGCATTGCGTGCAGGAGCCATGGCGCGGGAGCTGTACCACGAGGAGTTCGCCCGGGCTGGCAAGCAAGCGGGGCTGCAGGTCTGGAGGATTGAGAAGCTGCAGCTGGTCCCGGTGCCCCAGAGCGCTCACGGCGACTTCTACGTTGGGGATGCCTACCTGGTGCTGCACACGGCCCAGGCGAGCCGAGGCTTCACCTACCGCCTGCACTTCTGGCTAGGTAAGGGATGGCTGGCGGGCGGCGGGATCCCGACGCACCGAGGCGGGCGAGGGGACGACGGAGGGGTCTGGGATTTGCAGGCGTGGGAGCGAAGGGGACCGCAAACCGAGCTAGACTGGAGACCTGTCGCGCCACTCGCGCCCCCACGGGGCTGCGCTTTGGGGCCAGCCACTTTCTCCCCTCCCAAGCCAACTCGCCGGCTGCAAACGCGGGGCTCGGGCGTTGTCCGCAGTGGACTTACACCGGGAGCTTTGACCTTTGCCAGGTTTAGTTCCTGTACTTAGGAGATGGTAACTCTGGTTTCTTCCCCTTTCACCTTAAAGTCTCCAAACGCCACTCTCGTCCAGGGGAGCTGTCTCAGCGCGCTCCCGGTGGCCAAGCCCCGCTGACCTTCCAAGTTCGGTCCTGCTTTCCCTATCGGGATGGAGAGGAAGTTATAAAGTTCGGGGTCATCTGCTGCCGTTAGGGAGAAGTATTTTTCTTTTTCTTCACACGTTATTTTTATTTGTTGCCTTTGGGCAATGGCTTATTTTCTCTATTATTGCAGGTGTTAAAAGAGGATTCTACCCGCACCATGCTGCTTGAAGGTCTAGTAGAGTTCTAATAGAACTCCACACATTTATTTCAGCACAGTAGAGCCCTGTTAAAATCAAATGTCCTAAACACATTATCCATTATTCATTAGGAAGCTGGCGTCCTCAGATGGAAGCAAGAAAAAAATTCAGATTTTTATATATAAATAAATAGCTTTATATGAGTGTTTCATATATATCTTTAGATATGCTGCTTTGTTTTTTAAATTATTATTATTTATTTAACAAGAAGACAGGATGGAACAGAAACGGCTCCTTCAGCAGTAGTAATTATTTTGAGCTGCATTCGTGCCAGGCTGTCAGGACACTGGGCCTTGTGTGGTCATTTTCTACCTTCTACTTTTACTCGCAAACATCCTGAATGTCCAGCCTTTCCCCAGGAGGTCTTGTGCCAGTAGGCACACCCTGTCTAACAACGTGCCGATTCTCTGAGCCTTTTTGCCTTCTTTTAAAACTAGCTGGCCTGCCCAGTACTTATGCTTGTTTAGTTTTATCCCTGAGCTTAGGAAGAAAACACACAAAACCACACACATACCCATTTTTAAGTCCATGAAAGTCAACATTGTAATTTCTAACATTTGAAGATTTTAAGAAACAAAATAGTTGAATAGTGACTGTCTAATCATTGGCAAACACCTGGAACAGGCATTTGAGAAAGAGAAATGAAAAATATGTAGATGAAGATAGGACATTTAATTATAACATTTGGAGTCAAAAATTCATGTTAGCTTGAGGAGGCAGAGAAAGCTCAGGCTGAGTTCTAAATACATTTTGGTTTCTCCTTGCATTGCTATTATTCCTAATATAATGTTGTAATACACAATCATCTATTTGGATTTTGTGCCAGAACACACTGGAAATTTAATATATAACCCATGTTCAAGAATGAATAATGCCAGATAGAATAATGATGTCCTTACAGAGGACTTTTCCATCCAGAACTTAAATCTAATATGAACACAATTCTTTAATTCTATACACTTTTATCCAAGGTGACTTCTTAACTACTATGTTTTGCAGGGTTTACAGATTCACCTTAATTATTCACTTAATTATCTAATTAATTATCCACTTCGTACTCATAAATTTCCAAAATATAATAGAAAATGCTTTGGGGAGAAACATTTAAAATCTTAAAAGACTTGCTAAAACTGAAGTCAATCACATGTTAATATCAAGCAAATTCATTTAGTAATTATTCAATAGGCCCAGTACTGTACAGGGCACTTTTGGATATGAATAGGTAATGAAACTTCTCTGCAAGTTCATCACCTCAAAGGTGCAAAAAGACAAAAAGTGACATAACGCAGGTAGAATGTGATCGTTAACTGTGAAAGTGCAAAGTGTCTGTGGTTATTGGGAAGCAGAAGCCTTTTGAGAAAAAAAAGAACAATGAGAGTAGTCGGAAGGATTTTGTGCCAAGAGAGAATCATGGAGAGAAAAAAAGCTTCAAGAAAAATAGTCAACAGGACCTTCAGATGGGATTGCCCAACAGCTCTTCCTACTTCAGCTCCCTAAGAAAACAGAATTGCCTCCAAAATAGTCTAGTCTAAGTCCTAAATTAGAATGAATCCATGAGAATTCACCAGAGAGACAGACTGAGAGAAAGTTCCAGGAGGGAGAGCTGAAAGTCCAGGAGAAAATAACATTTAGTTAAAGGAAATCAGTTGGAAGGAAGAGAAACTGAAGTTAAACTGAGATGAAAAAAGGTGCATAGCATAGAAATGAAGAAACAGGTCAAGTGGGAGGCAGAAAGGGGAAACAGGAAGAAGTTGGACCTAAAATGAGAGAGAACACAGGGAAAGTCGTTTTTCCAGGTTTCTGCCTCAGTGTTTCCATAGGCATATCTCAGATTATTTTATTGTCTTAACATTATATGCTTAAATGCATTAACATCATATGCTTCAGTGTAATGAAAGTTAACATTTATTGCAAAGAACTTAAATTTTACTGTATTAGTCCTTCTTTAAAAACATTTTAGCTTTGCACCTACCAGTTTAAATGCATTTACCTTCTGATTCTAGTTCCTTACAGCACCAAATCAATAGGCAAGTCTAGATAGTAAAACTGCTCTCTGTGACATCCCTAACCGACGCTACAAGTTCTTAACCTCACTCTTTCTCTTTGCCAGTTTTAAACTTTACATAAACATATTTTAAAGCAGTATGCATTTGTGTTATAAGTGGGCTGTACCAGGCCCTGTGCAAGGCCATGGGAATCCATATACAACACAAAGAACTTACATGAAAGACTGGCTAGGATGCTAAGAAACTGGATCACTTACATTGCTGGGGCATGGGTGTGGCTACGTGCAATGGTACAGCACTCTGGAAAGAAGTTTAGTAGTTTCTTACAAAACCATATATACCGCTAACCATATTATCCAGAAATTGCATTCATAGGTATTTATTCCAGAAAAATGAAGTTTTGTGTACATATAAAAACCCGTACCTGAATGTCCACAGCAGTTTTATTTGAATAAACAAACACTAGAATCAGCCCAGATACTTCTCAACAGGTTACTGGTTAAACAAGTTGTGCATCTGTACCAAGCAATACTACTCAGCAATAAAAAAGAACAAATTGTTGATACATACAACAACTTGAACAAATCTCCAGGGAATCATGCTGAGTGAAGAAAACCTAAGAGGCTTTATACTGTACGATTCCATTTATATAACATTTTTGAAGTGACAAAATTTTAGATTTGGCATTGCCATAGGTTAGGGATAGGGTAAGGAGGGGTTGATGTGGGCAGGAGAAGAGTGCATTATAAAAGGGCAACATAAAGGATATTTTTGGTAGAACTATGCAGCATCTTGATTGCAATAGCAGATGTATGAATTTACACATGTTGTAAAATTTTATAGAACTAAGTGCACACACACACACACACCAGTAGGAGTAAAACAGAAAATATGAATAAAGTAGGTGGATTATATAAATGTCAATATCCTTGTAATGACATTTATATAATGTTGTGGTATTCAGAGCTATACTGTACTATATGTTAATATACTAAGCCATACTATAATTTTATAACATGTCACTACTGGGGAAACTGGGTCTATTGATCGGTGTGTGTCCTTTAACAGTACCATTCTGTTTTAATCATGTTAGGTATAGAGTAAACCTTAGTAACAGATAGAGTGATTCCTCCTACTTTATGCTTGTTTGTCAAGATTATTTTAGCTATTCAAGGGTCTGCGCCTAACTATATAAATTTTGCAATAAGCTTGTATATGTCTATTGTAAACCTCACTGTGATTTTGCTAACATTAGGCCTATAGATCAATATGTGAAGGATTGACATCGTTATTATGTGGAGTCTTAAAATTCACGACCACTAAGCATTTACATTTACTTAGGTCTTCCTTGATATTTCCCATTGCCGTTTTGTAATTTTCAGCATACAGATCCTGTATGTGTTTTTAGACTATATGCCTGAGTATTTCAGTTTATTTGGAGTGATGGCAAAAGGTATTGTGCCTTTAATTTCAGTTTCACCATGTTCATTGTTTCTTTATAGAAATGTGGCTGATTTTTTTGTTACTGATGAATCTTATATCCTGCTAACTTGCTCAATGCACTTTTTATTTCTAAGAGAGCTTTTTTTCTGGGTGGGGTATGTCCCTTAGGGTTTACTAGGTAAATAATATTGTTATCTCTAAATAGAGACCTTTTTATTTCTTCATATCCAATTTGTATGCCTTTTTTTTTCTTTTTCTTACTTTGTTGCAGTGGTTAGAACTTCTTGTACTAGTTGAATAAGAGTAGTGAGCGTGCACACCCATTTTCCTGATTTTATAGGAAAAACATTCAGTCTTTTTAGCATTGTTCTACGTTTTTTGTTGACTCTAAATATCATTCAAAGATATTCCTCTCTAATCCTAATTTGGCTTATTTCATTTTATTATGAATGGCTGTTGGATGAACCTAGTTTTAAACCTCTCTTTTTATCTATGTTTTAGATATAAAATCATTACATCCACAAAATGCTTACAGGAATTCGCAGGATGTACTCAAGTCTAATATAATATGAAATAACATGGCACAGCATAGTATAACAGAACATAAAAGACACCAGTAAAATCAGTGTAGGGAAACAACAAATGGAAGTCATAAGTAGATAGGGGAAAACTAAATTGATTCTTAAGCAGACTTTATACACAAAGTTCATAAGTTTCTAAATACTTTCTGTAATTCCATCATGCTACAACTGAATTTGATTATAATTTTTACATTCAAAGGTTGACATTGGCTTAATACCTTAAACGTTTCTCAGGCGTTTATTCATACAAATATTCGCTGGCTAACTCCATTACATAAGCATCAGCAAATGACAGCATAATTTAATTAACTTACTTTGAGTTCATTCATTAACTTTATGCCTGTTCATTTACATCCACTTAAATAGATTCGGGTTTCAACTTGTAGTCAGGTAAGGATGTTTATGTCAAATACATCATCTTTAACACCTTTGATGTTAACCTTGATCCCAAGTCCTCTCTTAAAGCAGCTCTGTTAAAGCATCAAAAAAATCTATATCTATGTCTTTATGGTATTCTCAGTTAGGGTTCTGACCCTAATTGGGCAGAAGAATGACACTAGGGTCCTTTCAGATTGCAAAATTGCCTGTGTGTTAAATACTTAACTTTGATCACAGCATGTTCACAAAATTATCATGTCAAGTAGTCTTCTAGCTACTGAGTTGTTGGTTTATTTTTCCCCTCAGAAGATACCGTTCTCCTTTGAGAGTAAGAGGTGAATTGTAAGGAAATCTGATTCTTTAATTTAACTGACTGATTTCCCATCTTCAACTTTGGTGAATACTCTCATTTAGGGTTGTTCAGGAGAACTACTAAATTATTACAGCTTCTAAGTTTTTATGCATCAGTTATCCATGGAAGAAATGAACATACCTTGTCACCATAAAATTGTACTTCTAATGAGAGCCTGAGTACAAAAAACACCTACAAGTGTACTGTAGTTTCCAAGAACCTGTGCTTCAGAGTCACACAAACCTACATCTGGTTCTTTTCTGCCAAAAGTTGCTTTATGACCTCAGGAAGTTTACCCAGCCTCTCTAAGCCTCCATTTTCCCCATTAATCTGGTAGAAAATAGTTTCTGCATTATGGGATTGCTTGAAGATTAAATGAGCTCATCCATGTAAAACATCAGTACAGTGTCTGGCCCATAGGGGTACTATAAAGGTATAATGTTGGCTATTATTATTTCTAGACTCATTTAAGATTTTTATTACAGCTTGGATGTAGTAAGTGTTTGAAGTGTTTTCCATAAAATGTAAGTGCCCCTCTGGACTGTCTTTACTGTGACCTTTATGTATACTACAGATACTGGTTCTTAGGAATTGTTTCAACCTTAGTGAAGTTACCTGGATGTGATCTGTATTACAATTGTGAAAATTAAATATATGTTGTATGTAAAATACCTGAAGCAATACCAAGTACATTAACACTTCATGTTAGCATGCTGCTTCTTTTGCTCTTCCTTTATTCCAGAGATCATTATTTCATTCAGACAAAAACAATCAGATGGTGAAGTGGGGAAAAAGATTTTAAAAGGGGGTAAAATTAAATTATATTCATTTTTCCATTGCAAAAACCACTTATTTAATTATGGCTCATGAGGTTCATATTCCTCACAAACAGTAGTTAACATATTGAAGTATCATAAGAACAAAGATTTATCCTAACAGAGGCTAAACCAATTGTCAAATATTTTCATAACTTGATCTTATTGACTATACCAAATTAATGCTTACTGAAATCTCATTGGAACAGGTTGTTTTTATCTTCCTGAGCAACTTCACATAGCAGTGTTTCTTTTAAAAATTTTTAAAGGAATTGGAAAAAACAGATACAAAAACAGGCCAACCACGGTGGCTCACATCTGTAATCCTCAACAATTTAAAGCAAGAGAATTGCTTGAGCTCAGGGTTCGAGACCAGCCTGGGAAACATATGGAGACTTTGTCTCTATAAGACATTTTTTTTAATTAGCAAAGCATGGTGGCATGCACCTGTAGTCCAAGCTATTTGTGAGACTGAGGCGGGAGGATTGCTTGAGCCCCTGGTTTTAACGTTACAGTGAGTTCTGTTTACATCATTGCACTCCAGTCTTGGCAACAGAGCAACACCCTCTCTCAAAATAAAAAAAAAAAAAAATTAAAAAATTGTTAATTATTAGCAAAATTATATATTATACTATTTAAGCTAAATGATCTTCCTGTAGAAGACTGTTTGTTGTATTGACGCATAATTGAAATGCAAATTTCTGGCATCTTTCCTATCAGAAATTCTGCCTTAATCCTTTCACTTGCTTGATAATTGAGGTGCTGTTGTTCACTGTTTTAGGAAAGGAGTGTTCCCAGGATGAAAGCACAGCTGCTGCCATCTTCACTGTTCAGATGGATGATTATTTGGGTGGCAAGCCAGTGCAGAATAGAGAACTTCAAGGATATGAGTCTACTGATTTTGTTGGCTATTTCAAAGGTGGTCTGAAATACAAGGTAAGCAGCTCCCTCAGTTTCCATTTTCAACCCCTTTCTCCTCTTGTCCAGCCATACCTCCTGTCTTCATAGAATGAAAATTCATTGAGGGCAGGGTTTTTTATTTTATTTTGTTTTTATTTTAATCTATTTTGTTCATGGCTATATCCCCAGTACCCGCTGGATACAAAGTAGGTGTTCAGGAAACATTTGTGGAATGTGTGGTACAATATGTGAAATATCGTGAAAATTTAACTTGATAGGTTAATTTTTTAAAGAGCTTTCAGTTATGTCTTCACAAAATACCTCTTTAATATTTTGTAGCTATTTCAACAATTAAATATTGGTAATTTGGGTATTAACAGTTTTCGTTTTTGCTATTATAGAGAATCTCTGAAGTTTCTGCAAGTAAACTAAGCCTTCAAAATTTCAGTTGGTCTGGAATATATTAATACAGTATCTATAATAATTATAATTTTAGTTACTGAAAAGAATTATACATGGGCTTCCAAAATAGTGTGGTTGTATCTTAGAAGGGGTGCAGATGAAACTTTTGAGCTGAAAAAGTCTGCAAGTAAACGACACACACGCACATGCACAGTTTATACACACTGGTCTGAAATACTGATCAATTGGTTTTACTTCTGAAAATAAACCATCAAGAACAAATAGTTACACAGTCCTATCCCTTTACGGCACCCTTCAGTACAGGACAGTTTTTTTGTTTGTTTTGTATTCTCCCAGTTAGCTTTGCAGACTGGCCCTCCCTTTTCCATTCCTGCCACCCACCCTACCGCACACATTCAGTTAAAGTGTGAGGAATATCCTCTCCAGACTAACGTTACAGAAAGAAGCCTTTCGAAAATCAAACATGCTACAGCAAGTGTTCTGTACACCCCACTGCCCCGCCCTGTGAGCATGCTACCCTAGTGAAGACATGAAACCTTAGAGCTTCACTATAATTCTGACTGTTATACCGAGTCCACTTATTAAGATGACAAGGTTTATTTATACGTTTACCTGTTTAGAGTCTTGGTTGAATATATTGTGACACTATTGAGATCAGAACAAACTTATACATTATAAGTTATCTTATGTCTCTTGAAATCATTATTTTATTCTAGGCTATGAGCTACCCTAAATACAAAACTGTTACCTCTCACTTTTTAAAATTCACATGAGCTCCTACAGTTTATGTCAAATGATCGTGAAACTTCCTTTATGTCATTGAACCCAACATTTTAAATAAATTGAGTCTTGTAGTTACAAAAAGCAGGTGCTGTGACACCATCTTAGTTATGAACCCATTTCTGCCACATACGACTTGTTTGCTTTAGGGCAAGTACTGAGCTTTCTGTTCTCAGTTTGCCCAAACAATGAATATTATAACAGCTTCCCCATACAGGTGTTGTATTAAGGAATAAATTAACTAATAAAGTAATTGTGGTTGGGCATGGTGGCTCACGCCTGTAATCTCAACATTTTGGGAGGCCAAAGCAGGCAGATCACCTGAGGTCTGGAGTTTAGATCAGCCTGGCCAATAAGGTGAAACACTGTCTCTACCAAAAATACAATTAGCCTGGCATGGTGACATGTGCCTGCAATCTTAGCTACTGGGGCAGAAGAATTACTTGAACCCAGGAAGCAGAGGTTGCAGTGAGCCTAGGTTGTGTCATTCCACTCCAGCCTAGGAGACAAGAGCGAAACTTTGTTTCAAAACAGTAGCACGTAGATGAAAACTTGTATTTATTTAATTACATAATATTAGTTTATTTAACCAAGAAATGTGGCAGTCGTTGTAAAATTATGGACTGGGAAATCATTATATATATATACACACATATATATATATACATATATATACACATACATGTATATATATACACACACACATATACATGCATACATATATATATATATATATATTTTTTTTAATTTGAAGTTTTAGTTGTCCTGAAATCAATATCTAATCTATACCAACTTTCCTTAGAGAATGGTGGAAATTTAAAGTCAATGGAAATTCAAAGAATGTACTAATGACACATTAGCTCTAATTTTACTTGCCATTACTATAGAGGTTTTTGATCTTTCAATGACAGTTTTGTTTATACTGTAGCTCAGTTGTGCACATATAATTAATTATAATTAATTGTGGAAATAAAGATATGGTTCGTATCATTTAATTAGAAAAAAATGAAAAGGTAAAAGATTATTGCAAATAAGATGTAGTTGATACAGTTAATGTTTTCTCTGAGGGGTTTCTTTAATTCAATGTGATTGTATTTCATTTTGTTTTGTTTAGTTTTTCTTGTGGTTGTGGATATACACTCAAGATACTGCATCTCTCCTGGTTTATTGTAAAAACACTGAGACCTAGCTTATTTATTAATAGAAGACGTCTTTCCCAGAAAATAAAGAAGACATTTGATTACTTTAAATCTAAAAACAAGAACCATACATAAGATCAGCCCACTCCTGGCCAGCACTCAACTCTCTTCTTTGTCCCAGCCCTTTAACAGTGTGAACTTTTGGTTGCCTTCTTCTCTGGCTGCTATCATCTGTACATGTTACCTCTGACCCTCCTCTAGCCACCTGTCACCTTCTTCCCTGAAATCTTTGCCTTCTTGCTTATTAATGATTTGGGGGTCATTAGTGTCCAAAGGGCAAGAGCTATGGCTTCTTCTTTTTGTTTTTGCAGCAATGTTTTATATGCTGACTGTTCTCAGTCAATACTTGCAGTTGTCAATAGAAGGGTTAAGACAGAAATAATAAAGAGACAAAAGCAGCACAATATGTTGATTACCAAGGAGTTCTCTCTTGTCTTATGCAATAGATGGCTATTTTATCTTGGCTTGACAGGTACAGTTTTGGCACAAACACTAGTGGTATAATCGTGCTTTGCTTTGTCTAAACAGACACCTCGTCAGTTTTCTCTTTGATTTTTTTGTGTGTTTCCCTTTGTTGATCAGGCTGGAGGTGTGGCATCTGGATTAAATCATGTTCTGACCAATGATCTGACGGCCAAGAGGCTCCTACATGTAAAGGGTCGTAGAGTGGTGAGAGCCACAGAAGTTCCCCTTAGCTGGAACAGTTTCAACAAGGGTGACTGCTTCATCATTGACCTTGGCACCGTAAGTTTCATATACACACATCGATGTCTAAAGGAAAATGAATTGCTTTCAGATCAAATCAGATGTACATGTCTTTGAAGAGAATCACTTTTTCTACACACTGGAAAGTGGCCAGGTTTATGTGAGATGAGTAATTGGCAAGAATTTAAATGACGCATAAAGTGGGACTTCAGAGTTTTTTATTTTCTTTCATAGGTTTAGAATAATGATTTAGTTCTTCCTACCATAGAATAGAAATTGACTAATTTTTAATACATTTCCCCTTCTCTTTGAACAGAGCTTCCTCTAATTATTTTTGTCTCTAATTGTGCATGGGAAAACATAGCTTGAGGGGGAAACTGGTTCCCCAGCAACAAAAGGCTCTAGAATATAATCTGGACATAAGATGAATCTAAACAGCCACCTAGAGAATTTTTTTTTTTTTTTGAGACGGAGTTTCGCTTTTGTTACCCAGGCTGGAGTGCAATGGCGCAATCTCGGCTCACCGCAACCTCCGTGTCCTGGGTTCAGGCAATTCTTCTGCCTCAGCCTCCTGAGTAACTGGGATTACAGGCATGTGCCACCATGCCCAGCTGATTTTTTGTATTTTTAGTAGAGACGGGGTTTCACCATGTTGACTAGGATGGTCTCGATCTCTTGACCTCGTGATCCACCCGCCTCGGCCTCCCAAAGTACTGGGATTACAGGCGTGAGCCACCGCGTCCGGCCCAACCTAGAGAATTTTAAAGAAGTATTTTGACATACACATACACACACACCATACCATTTCACATTTTTCAATTATCACAGGGTTTAGAAGGAAAGGCACAAATACAAATATCAAGCATCATCTCAATGGCATGAGCAATGGTATACTACATCAGACTTATGTTTTCTTCCTGGAAAAGATGCTCCTCTAATAATCAGGTATACTTATTAATCACTATGATCATGACAAAGAAGGATTATTGCAAGACCCTTTGCTAGACCCTAGAAGTTAGGATATAAGTTGTATCTTTAAAAGTCTGTAAGGTTTTCATAACAGAAATAAAGAGCATTTCCCTCCACTGAAAAATCATGTGCAGAGAAATGAAAGAAAGAAAGCACAGCACTTATAAGGATCTCTTCTACCTGCTTTTCATTATCATTTCATCACGCCATACATCTCAACATTCTATTTATCATTCCTAACATTTCTGGGCCAAAGGTTGTAACAGAATCATGAGCTGACCTGCATTGCTTCAGTTAGCATGAGGCTTGTCTATGGAATTTGCTCAAGGTTACAAAGTCAGTAAATGGTGAAGCCAGGATTAATCTCTTAGCATACCTGATGCCCTGCTAAGCATTTTGTTTTATTGCATCACTTGGGCAGTATTTTGTAATAAAGCAGTAGACAGAAGCCAAAAGAGCTTATTCTGTCTGCATAGAGGAGGGACACAAATGATTCTGAAAATAGTTACAAAGTTCTGTTTAAGCAATATTAATTTAACAACAGTACAGAGATTAAATGTACAAAGGTTATACATCGTTTGGAAAATGACCCCAAGATATAAACTGCATCAGTTTAAGTGAGCATGCATCCATAGTTTTATTACTACTTATACATAATCTTACTGTCTTGGATCATACCAGCTTGTGTGCAAAGTTGAGATCACAATAATATAAATGCCCAAAGAACAATTTTTAGTATTACACGTAGACACCTACACCCTAAATGGCAGTACTTTTGCTCTGAATCTCACAATAAATTTCATGGGAAAGTCCTCTTTAACTTCAAAAGCTAATTCATTCTCCTAACAGATTTAAGGCCTAACTCTAAGATCTAGGCAGATCTTATACAGATACTGTATAAGAATACAGATACTGTTCCACCCTTTCATTCTCCCCTACTGCCAACCCCTACCTATAAATAAATAAATAAATAAAATAAATAAATAACTGGTGCAAATAAACTTCCACAGCCACACAGTTCTGAAAGCAATTGCAACATTCAATCTCTCAAACCCTATGCACAATAATTTTCTATCTCAACTTTCATCTCCACCACTTACACTCTAAAGTACTTTATAATATATAAATCCTTTTAAAAATAAAATGGCATTTTTATTAGAAAAAGGAGACGTCCTTTCTCATTCCAGTTGCTGTACTCTGAGGTTCCGATCTGTAAAAGTAGATATTTGATTAGGTGATTGCAAGGTTCCCTAAACAAGAAGGACACTTCCCAATGATAATGTAATTAATTATTGCCATTACCTGAAAATATTTCTTTTCTTAAAAACACTTTTTATGTGTAATATAATTGCTATGTAAATGCAATAATCTATTCAATTATAGTGAATGACTTCCAATTCAGCTTTCTATGATCTTCGGCAAATCGTTAATGTCTCTAAGCCTTAACTTCATTTGTTTTTACATCTTGACTCTGATTTCTGATGCCACTTTTATCCTTAGCTGACTATGATTCAGTCTCATCTGGGAAGCGGCAGTTATCATCCCAGTTTCAAAAGGGGAAACAAAAGCCTTAGGCTTTAGAACGTATGTGCAAGTCTCTTCACGTTCATGCCAGTTGTGTGGTGACCCAGAATGGGGGGTATGTTTTTCTATTCCTACTTTACATTCTTTTCACCACACTATGCTAACTTGGTAGTATATAAGATAGTATGGCCTGGTAATAGAAAGTCTTGCAACAGGTTAAGAATCTGCTGAATTCAGAACTGATGATGCCTAATGTGCTAAGATTCCACTGAAAGCAGTAGTATTCACTAAATAATTTATTTTGTGGAACAAATACAGAGTTTCCACAATGGGCCAGGTAGTTGGTTGTGATGGTAGACAGGTTGTAGTTCTTGTGCCATATGCTCTTTTCCCAAAGTTAATGCCAGTCTGTGGGAGTATGGCCCACAAATCCAGGCTCATATAATAGGGACAGAGACTCTATTATAAGATTCCAGGGCATTCATCTATTTAATAGTAAATTATTTTTATCTTATATAGTTAATTATCTTTAATAATTTTCAAGTTCTCTTCTCCCATGCCTTGTAAAAGAGATATTTGGAATGAGAGATATTAGTTGCAGAGATATTGGTGCTTGGTTATCTCTTATATTTTGGAATTTTCCTATTCTCAAAAGGGATGCCCTGATGAGAATCAAGCCCCAGATTCCTAGACAAACTCTAGCAAATACTCCCAATATCTGTGTTTGTATTACTAACCTTTAACCAGTTTGTATGTTGCCAAAAGTTTCAAAATGGTGATAAGATCTTGAAACTACCTTGGCAACTTTATTTTGAGGTGTGTCACAATAAGCAAAGAAATACATGGAACTAAAATTTTCTGTGCCATAATATTTTCATAGCAGTCATTATGCTAGTTATTTAAAGCAACATTCTGCATTAGAGGGCCTAAAAGAATGACAGTGTAGTTTCTTCAAGTTTGTATTATGACCGAGGTATGAAAAACTTAGGCTAAAAGTCCAGTTACCACTCAGCTAAGGCCACCTGGTCAAAACTAAGACCATGGATATAACCTAAATCCCATACCTTGATCAAAAGAGAAATCAACTTTTTTGATCAACAGTCACTATTATTAATATGATATTCCATATGTCTTAGAAACATTTGTTCTTTTATCAAGTTTTAGATTATAGTAAATATTCCTGAACATTACAATGTAACCTCATCAGCCTGAGGCATAAGATATCAGTTTAGCCAGTTTGAAAGTGAAGAAAACCATCAATATTTTGGAGAATGATTTAGACCCATTTCTCATATTTAGCATATTTTCAGAAAATAATATGAAACATGGCTAGATCCTACCAATTTACGGAGTCAGGGAAAACCACTTTTGAAGGATATATTTAAATGTTGTTGAATTTATTAGTCATGATTTCCCCACTATTTTAAAAAATTTTTAGAAATTAGTAAAATTACATCTAAAAATATTGCAAAATACTACCAGTATCTGCAGAATGTGAATGAAAGCCCATATTCTTAAGATTTGGGGTCTGGGGTTAACACTTGGAAAGGTATGTCACAGTCAACCACTAGCGAAGAATTAGGTTTCACACGAGTAGGAATTCCTGTGGTGAGTTACTGATCCTGATGTTCCCCATGTTCCGTTTCCTTCTTGTTTGGTCATTTGTGCAGCTTTACCCTGTTCTCCTCACTATTTATAATCTATCACGCTCTGTCCCGTTGTTTAGTCATGCTGCTTTGAAAAAGCAGTCTCCACTTCCTCATTAACCAGTCAGTCTTTAACCCACAGTCTGACTTTCACTCCCACAGTTCCTCGGAAACTGTTCTTGCTATGGGCGTCGATGATCCCTGCTAAATCCAGTAAACACTGTGACATTAACCACTGGATTCTTGTATTGCAACCCACACTGTTGACTTTCCCCGTCTTCTGCAGCCTCACTCCTCCCCAGGCTTCCTTGTTTTCTTCCCTTTCAGCCACGCTTATTCTTCTTTTCATGGTCTGCCCACCCTTTCAAGTACTTTTTAAAATGATTTTAATTATTGTCTCTTCTTTTATACATTCTTCCTAAGCAAACTTATCCCCACCCAAAGCTTCAGCTGCTACCCATGGGACAATCTAAACTTAGTCTAACTCAGACCTCAGACCTCTTGCCTGAGCTCCAAGTCAGTATTTCAGATATTTCAGCTTGTATATGTCATGAGAACCTCAAACTCAACACATCTAGAAAATGACTTCCTCTCTAATTGTCTTTATCTTATTAATGGAGCCACCACTCATTCAGGTTTTCAAAGCCAGAACCCAGGAGTCATCCTGAAAACTCCTCCCAAGTGTTCCACTTTCCTTTCACTGCTATCCTAGTCTATTCTACCTTCTAATGATCTCTTGAATCTTTCCTGTCCTCTTCATTGCTGTTGATACTGTCTCAGTGCCCCATACCTGACACATCCTTCAAGTCACCAGGCTTTTGTTTTTGCAGATTGATTCCTTTGCTTAGAATACTCATCTCTTCTTTGACACCTTTCTCCAGCAGGCATCTCATATTTTCT